GGTGTCGCCCTGGGGCAGCGGCCTCGACCGAGCGCGTGGAACAGCGCATCCCCCGCACACGCTGCGCGTCGTGCTTTCCTCACGCGGCCGCGTTTTTCTCCCGGCGGCTCAGACCCCTCCGAATGCCTACCCCGTGTAGCCCCTCACCGGGTGCTTGGGGAAGGCTGAGTACGGGTCCGTGTCCGCCTGACCCGCGTTCTGAGTACGGGTCCGTGTCCGCCTGACCCGCGTTCTCAGGAGATCAGTACGCAGCCCCTGCGAGAGAGCTAGAGGAGAGGTTGACTGCGCAGGGGTCACAGCCAGCCTTTTGGACCCCACAGTCCACGTCCCTGGCCGCGGGGTCCGAGGCAGGTGAAAGTGGTACAGGGGTTGTGTTGTGACAGTGGGAGCCAGGCTGTGGCTGGAGCAGCGCGGAGCAGCTGGCAGGGGCCGGGGAGGCCGCCACTGCCAGCGAGGAGGAACAGCTGTTCGTTGGTCAGCGGAGCTGGCTGCTTCCTCCCCTCCCCTACTCCTGGGCAGCCTGGGAGCCACCAGACTCCAAGGTGGGCGCCTGCTTATGTGTGGGGGGGCAGGGCCTAGGGGAGAGTCCCAAGCATGCCCCCAGCATCTCCTCTCTCTAATGTTCTGCCTTCTCCTGTCTGGGCCACCCTGGGCTGAGGGTCTGCAGGCGGGGAGGTCTCCCAGGACCCCTGAGGTGGGCCCTCCAGTGACACAGTACAGCTCAGGTACGGTGCAGCACAGGGTTTGGCACTTGAGTGACAGAAGGTCAGCTTGTCCAGTCCCCTGTTTCTATGCAGGGCCACCTGGAAAACCTCAGAGGAACCCCAGGAATACGCCCGGCCTCCTTCAGACTGTGTCTTTTAGGAAGGTGCTGACTAACCAGGCCTATGCAGAATTTCACTCTGGTTCTAGAGATCAGGAGATGTAAGCAGTATGTTTCCGGGGCTGGGAGAAACCTCCCAACTCAAGCCTGGGGATGGAGGCTGAAGTGCATTGTGCACCTTAGGCATGGGAGGTAGATGGGGAAGGAAGAAGATTTCCCTCCTTTAGGGAATCAGAAGATCAGACAGATGGGTGGGTCCAGGTGAAGGTGTGTGGGGTGGGGCAGGAGAGCTACAGCTCTGGGACTGGAGGTAGGAGACTTTGCAACCAGGGGTGGGGCACAGCTGTCCCTGTGACAGTGTGTGTCTTGACCCTGGTGGCTCCCTCTGTCTCTCCCCTGGGTGCCCGAGGGCTGCCTGGCACAGGCAGGGCTTGAAATGGGCTCTCCACCTCTCCCTGCAGCCTCTGCTTCTCTTTTATCTCCGTTGCTTTTTTCCTCTGACCCCCTCTGTTCCCGCTTCTGTCCCCACTGGTCTTTCCGTCCTCTGGCCTCCCACCTTGTTTGTTTTGTGATCCTTGTCTCCTCTCTCCCGGCTGGCAGCAGCACACCCTGTGGTGTGATTATCACGTTAAAAGGCGGCTTCTCCGGGAGCCCTTCTCACCTCAAACGTGTCACGTGGCTGTCCTGTCAGTCGCACATCTGCTTTATTTCAACGTCAAACGTGCAACAGGGAAAGGAGAGGATGTGAAAAATTGTCAGGATCAGAAAGTGGAGGTGATGATGGCCCAGAAAAGCAGGAGGGGACTGGGGAAGTCTTCAAGTGGACTCTTCAGCCTTGGTTTTCCAGCTCTTCCTATGCTGGCCGTTTGTTGAAAGGCGTGGACAGCTGTGGGCACCTGTATCCTGGCCTGAGCCTGGGCTTGCAGGTCACGGGCAGGCAGGGGTAGATTCCCCCTGGTGCCAACACTGTTCCTTCCAAGCAACATGTCCAGGGTGTGCCCTTCCCTGCCTGATCCCTGCTCGCTTCTGGCCCCCAGACTGGCCACCTCCTACCTTGCACTCACAGGAGACTGGGTGGTCTCATGTTGGTGTGGCCTGGGCAAGGAGGGGACTGAAAGCGGCCAGAGCCTGCTGTCTTCCCAAGTACCCTCCTTCGTATCCCTTGTGACACTGTGCCATGCACCTGCCCAAGCCTGGCTGGCGTTGTGCTGGGCACCTGCTCCTCACATTATCCTGGGTTTTCAGACGAGGAAATTGGGGCGGAAGAAGGGAGGCAGCTGGCTCAGAGCCACACGGGGTTTGGACCCAGGCCTCCGACCTGAGTCAGTGATGACAAGTCAGCTGGTGAGAGAGCCAGCCGGAATGGGGACAGAGGGACCTGTCTAAGTGGGCCTTGGTAAGGGTTGGAGGAGCTGAGTCCTTGGGGACCATGGTAGAGGTGATCGGCCATTCTTTCTCATTATTGCTGGCCCTGGTTGCATTCATTTCACATTTATTGAGCACCAGCTGGTGTCCTGGGCTCTAAGGGGGAGTAAATGCCTCCCACCCTTGAGGACTGTCCCACAAAGGAAGTCTCCTCCTGTCCCCACTAGTGGATCCAGACAGGGGCTCCCAGGGGGGAGCAGTGTAGTTGTCCTGCCTTCTCTACATCCTGACTCAGTATCAGCGCCTTGTCTGGTCCCCAGCCTCATCAGCTGTGGTCATCTAGTTCATGGCTACCCCCATGAACTGCTCCTGCACTATAGCCTGCTGTGGCTCCCTGCTTCCCACAGGGAAAGCCTGAATTTCCTTATTTGACATTTAAGGCAGTTCCTAAATTGGATCTAACCTGCTTTATGGGGCAAAGTCTGCCTAAAGGCTCCAGCTGCTTGCTTTCCTTTGTACCTTTGCAGACTTTTGTCACAGCTGTCACCACCCCACCCCATCCCCTTTGGTGGGCCTTCCCAGCCTGCCCTTCCTTCTGTGGTGCTTCTTTTTTTTTTCTTTTCTTTTCTCTCTCTCTCTCTCTCTTCCTCTCTCTCTCTCTCTTCTTTCTTTCTCTCTCTCTTTCTTTATCTCTCTCTCTCTTTTGTGTTTTTTTGGTACTGGGGATCGAACTCAGGTCCTTGCGCTTTTCTTTTTCTTTTTGAGGTGAGGTTTTGCTGTTTTGCCGAAGAAGATAGCCTCAAACTTCTGAATTTCAGTGATCCTCCTGACTCAGCCTCCCTAGAACCTGGGACTCCAGGGACACACCCAGCTTCCCCAGCACCTTTTTTATAATTCTAACTAACTTCCTTCCTCTCTCTCTCTCTTTCTTTCTGTACCAGGGATAGAATTTGCACTTGCAAGGCAGGTGGCAGAACCACTGAGCTAAATCCCTGTACTACACCACCCCAGCACTTTGACAGGCTGATTAGTCTTCACCCTTGACTTCCACCCCCAGGGAGTCAGGTCAGCTCTGCAGTTCCAGCCTGGAGCACTTGCAGAAGCTACAACCCTTCAGATCTTTACCCGGACCACCCCCCTGGCCTTTCCTGTCCTGTCCCCTCTTCATCTCCATCTGACCTCTTACGTAACTGCCTGTCCTTTTCCCTGATGAGAATGTTGGTCCGTGAAGGTGGGTAGTTTTCCCCATTTCTCAGGACTTTGTCCCTGGAGCCTAGAACATCGAGGTGCATATAGCAGACGCTCAGGGAGGATTTGTGGGATGAGTGCATGGTGGGGAATGAACAGATGAGCCGGCCAGCTTCTGCCTGGAGAGCACCGAGGGAAACTGACCTTGTCCCCGCCCTTTGCAGCTTTATCTGTGGAGCCTGAAGTGACCACCTTGGGGGCCATGCAGAAGGCTGGGGCTGGTGGCCGAAGGGCCTCCGACTGTGGGCCCACCCCCTACCGGCCCAGGTGCATCACCAAATTTGCCCAGGTGGGTGTGCTGTGTCGGGTGGCCCTGGAGGTGGCGAGCGGGTAGGGTGGAGGACCTACCTCTCTGTCCCTTCTCTGACCTAGACCTTGCAGTGTGTGCTGCACAGACAGGCAGGCTTGAGACCAAGGTCACCTGCTGGGAAAGTGGCAGAGCTTAGATTCCAAGGGGGGTGCCCTGGCCCTGTCCCCAGCATGTTGGTGGGGGATGTGTGTCTCAGGGCTGGGTTGAAGGAAGTGGCCTGACTCCCTGCCTTGCACCCTCTTGCTGACTTGCAGTACGTGGGATCCTTCCCCGTGGATGACCTGGATACGCAGGAGGGTGTGTGGCTGGTGCGGCAGCAGCTGTGGGCACTGAAGGTGAGGGGGGTGCATCCCGATGGGGTCACAGCCCTGAGGCCCGATGAGACCCCTGCCCTCTCATAAAGGTGGGCAGGTTTGCACCCAGGCTCCTTCAGCCCTGGCCCTCGAGCCCCAGACTTCCTCAGGCCACTCGCAAAACAAAGCTGGAAGCTCTAGGTGGGATCCGAGCTGCAGCCTGGCTGGGAGTTTTCTGCTGGAATCCAGCCCGCTCCCAACTCTGAGCGGCCACTGCCCAGGGCTCCGTACCCTGGCAGGGCTGGTGGAGTCGGTGGATGGTCCTGGGGCTGCGCTGGGGGAGTAACGCCTGCTTCCACCAACCCTCTTCCACTCAGGACTGTCCCCGCCGAAGAGCTGTCATCCTGAAATTCAGCCTGCAGGGTCTCAAGATCTACAGTGGGGAGGGAGAGGTAGGAGCAGCTGGGGCGGGTGCAGGGCGGCTGCATGGGCACGGGTGTGTCCTCTGCAGGGCCTGGCTGAGCCCCCAACCTGTCTATGTGCTCTGGGGCCTTTGGATGAGGGTCTCTGAGGGTCCCGTGCATGGCCCCTCTCACCCTTGACCTTCAGAAACCTGTAGGGGCCACTCCTGGCCTCTGACATCAGAGACATCAGTCCTGCCCAGCGCTGAGGCTGTGGAAAAGCCAGCTTTGGGCAGGAGACAAGGTGTCCCGGCTTGGATGTCAGGCATACAGGTCAGGGGCCTGATGTGGCCTGGTGATGCTGCTCCCAGGCACTCCTGATGGCCCACGCCTTGCGGCGCATCCTCTACTCCACCTGGATCCCAGCCCGCTGCCAGTTTGCCTTCATCGCCCGGAACCCACGAAACCCATCCAGCAGACTCTTCTGCCACCTGTTTGTGGGCAGCCAGCCTGGAGAGGTATCTGGGGCCCAAAGCAGGGGACACACTGAGGCTGAGATGGTCTAGGGATGGAGGCCTCTGGGCTTGGCAGAGCTGGCCTGAGCTCCTCTAGGAACCCACCCTTTACTGTACTGAATTCTTCTTTGGCCCCTAGTAAGGGTCCCTCTACCCCATGAAAGTTGGTGGCCTTGGCGTTCCCTGGGGGCCAGGGTATGAACTTGCAGGTCACCTGCCAGGCCGTTGCTGGTGCCACTCTCTGCCTGAATGCCTGCCCCGCCCTCCTCTCCTCCTTACCCTCAGGGCTCAGCCCCGATGCCTGTGAAGCCCACATGGATTCCCCCAGGTTGTCCCTCCTGCAGAGCCTGTGACAGGAACACTTCAGTCGCTAAGCACGGGTGTTTGAGGTCCCTGAGTACAGAGCCTGGGGCCAGGGCTTGGACTGTCCCAGTGCATGGCCCTTTGCGGATGGGTGCAGTGAGTAACAGGTAGATCCGGCAGTCAGAGCCAGTGTGACCACGCGAGCCACAGCTGTGTGACAGCAGAGGTTGGGGTCATTCTATCCAGCTAGCATTTGCTGCCGCTGTTGGAGGTCCAGCCTTGTGTTAGCCACTGGGGTGACAGGTGGCTGCAGCTCATGGTTCCAACATGCTGGGCCTGGATGTGTGGATGCGCTGCCCCAGACAGGTGCTGGGCTTGGGTGGGAGTTTTCTGTGCGCCACTTCATGCACTCCTCAAAGGGACACAGGGAGGTGGGGATGAGGAAACTGAGACACACAGGGTACCATGCTGCACCATGGCCACAGTGCAGTTCCTAAGTGATAGCCGGGATTGGAGCCTAGGCTCTGACCCCAGCCACTTCTTTGAGAGGGTGCTGGGGTGAGGCGCAGGGAGTGGACTCAGTGCTCTCCGCAGGGTGCACAGCACAAAGTAGGTAACCGTTAAATGAATAAGGGAGGCATGGTAGGGAGGTTTTGAAGGCTAAGTAGGAGTTTCCCCAAGAGGAAAGGAGAGGGACACCCTAAACTCAGGGGCTGCACGCACCCTTGGAGAGCGAGTAGATGCTTGGGGGCCCCAGGGAGCTCTCTCCATCTCAGCCTGCCTTTCTCCCACCCTAGGTTCAGATCCTGTACCTGCTGCTCTGCCGCTCCTTCCAGCTTGCTTACCTCTTACAGCACCCTGAGGAGCGGGCACAGCCTGAACTATCCCCCGGGCCGGCAGGGGACCTGTCCCCAAAGCCACTGCCCAGCCCTGGGGGCCCTGCTACCCTGGTGCGGGAACCCTTCAGCCGTAATCAGCTCTCACAGAACGTCCACGCCCTGGTCTCCTTGCGGCGGCTGCCAGCTGAGGTGCCAGGGGGCAGTAGTGGGGTATGCCTACCCTAAACAGGGATGGGCAGTGGGCAAGGCCACTGGGCGAAGGCTTGGAGGTCATAGTGGAGGGAGAGGGGTGTGCTTTGGGGATGTTGCTTGGCCTGACATGGCTGTCCTGCCTCTGCCTGCCCATTGGGCCCCCTTGCCGCCCTAGAAGGAGCTGCCTGAGTCAGAAGGCCATAGTGCCCGCCACGCCCGCCTGGGGAACCCCTACTGCTCACCCACACTGGTGCGAAAGAAGGCCATTCGCAGCAAGGTGATCCGCTCAGGGGCCTATCGGGGCTGTACCTATGAGGCCCAGCTGCAACTGTCAGCGCGGGAGTCCTGTGAGTTAGGGTGCAGCCCCCGCGTGTGTGCATGCGTCACTGGCTGGGTGTGTGTGCATCCGGGGTGACTGTGTGACTGTGCGTGAGCGTTACTGCCAAGTGGGCGTGAGTGGGGGCGCCTGAGTGGGGGCTGTCTGTGGGGAGGGGGCGGGGCCTGGGGAGAGGACAGAGGGGAAGAGCTGGAGGGGGCCGGGCAGGCTGGTCTAGTGGGGGCTGCCGGTGGGGAGGGGGCGGGGCCTGGGGAGAGGACAGAGGGGAAGAGCTGGAGGGGGCCGGGCAGGCTGGTCGGGAGGGTTTGGCCTCTCTCCCTCTGACCCTGGGTGGTCTCTGT